CTGAATAATCCTGTTTTTCACCCACAAGCAGAGTAATACTTACCGGTACTGAAACACAGCATGCTGCTTTGAGCAGGAGGGGTGGTCAATAGGAATATCTGCGATCCTGCGGTGCCTGCCCAGAAGATAAGCACTCTGCCTGTGAATGTACATGACTGGGAGAAACTCATCGTTTTTGAAAGGATAGAGGCGCCATCGCTTCTTTGGAATCCGAGCTTCGGGGGGCTCGCTGTACTTAATCACAACACCTCGGAAAGTGTTGGTATCCTCTAGAAGCGCACCTGACAGTTCAAAGCTTGGCTTCTCTTTGTTTGCAGAAGGTTTTTCTTTAGGTTTGTTATCGGATTGCCCGAGTTCTGGCTTCTGGTCAATGCCGCTAGCTTCGTTATTTTGTCGATGCTCTCGTCTTCGCTCGTTATAAAACTCCCTCTCTGCTTGCTGCTCACGGATGTTCTGAACATCCCTCTCTCGCTCGTGGCCTCGGACTCCAGGCCTTTCGTTTGGATTCTTCCTTCTGTCTGAGTGGTCTCTGTGTCTCTCTCTGTCACCACTTCTGTCTCTCCTGTGTTCTTGTTCTGACGGGTATCTCTGCTTTCGCTCCTCGTTTCCTCTGCGACAATGATCATCTCGCTCCTGTAATGAACAATCACTTACAGTGACGTATTCAGAATTAGAATGAATGAGCAGTGAAGCTACCTCAGCTTTTAAGAAAAATCACAATGCTACGCACGGAAAACACGGACATGGTGCGTGCCGATCTAACAAAGCGAGAGAAACTTATTTCCTTGCCAACCGATCTGGGTTCCTACAATTTGCACAGAATAAAGCAAGATCGAGAAACAGCGTGATGCATCACCTGCTCCGGGCACACAGAGAAGCTCGCAGGGACAGCCTGCGTCGGTGGCAAAGGCCGGGTTCGCACACGCGTGTGAACACCCAGTCGCTTACGGCAAAGCCCGAGGTGGGCAGCACGGGCGATTAGCGCACCACGGCCCTCCGGTTCCCGACCGGGCACGCTACAGGGACCAGAAGAGAACAACTGCCACGGGAGAAGTCGCTCTTTGTACCTGGCACGGCCGAGTCTCGCAGGAGCAGCTGTCG